GCAAATTCTTCTGCTAGTTGGGGTTTAGTCCACTTTTGTATCCTTCCCTTCAAGGCTCAGGGGTCCAAGATTATCTTCTGTGTCTGTGTTAATTGGTTTCCCTTTCCTTTGTTAAAGAGCATCTGTGCAGTCCTTCTGCCTAGTCCGCCATCTTGCCGGAACTCCCTCTACCATTTATTTTTTACTGCTTTGATTTATCCCAGATCTGTCCATTTACCATCTATCCATCCACCAATCTGTCTTTTATGGATACATTTTAAAGTAAATTGCAGGCATCAATACACTTCCTTCTAAATACTTCAGCATGTGTATCATTAGCTCGAGTTCAATATTTGTTCACAAAACTCTTAATGAAATATTGAATTTCACCATCAGTCCACAAAGCTCCCAATGCCCTTTCCCAGTCAATCCCCATTCCCATCCCTCTTATAAGCAATCACTGTTCTGTTTTTTTTTTTTTTTTTTAATATAGATTAGTTGTGTCTCTTATTGTTTTATATAAATGAACACACAGAGAATATATATTCAGGGTAACATTTCTTTTACTCAGCATTTTTAAAATATATTATCTATGTCATTGTCAGGAGCACTGGTGGCATAGTACCTAAGGCATTTGACTGTTAACCAGAAGGCTGGTGGTTCAAATTCACCAGCCACTCCTCGAAAGGAAGGTTGTGCAATCTACTTCAGTAGTGATACTGCCTCAGAAACCCAAGGAGGGGTTGTTATGAGTCAGATCCAACTCCTCGGCAGTGAGGTTTGTTTGTTTGTTTGTTTTTTAATGTCATTGTATGTAGCAGTAATTCACTCATTTCCTGGCAGAGTGATTTTCCAATGTATTAATATACTACATTTTTTTCCTATTCTTTCATTGATGGACACTTATACTCTTCCAATTTCATGGTGATCATGAACAAAGCTTTATAAATCTTTTTGTATGAATCTTTTTGTGAACATGTGTGTTCTGGTTACCTAGTGCCACTCTGATGGGAATATGCCACAAATGGGATGGCCTTAACAAACAGGAGGTTTATTCTTGCAGTTTGGAGGTTTTAATCCGAGTTCAAAGTGCAAGGCTTCTAGGGGCCGAGTGAAAGCCCCTTGACCTTGGGCCTCTTGCTCCCAGCCCAATGAAGCTAGAGGCTCTTCTTCACTCAGCTGCTGGCTGCTGAGGCTGAGAAACCCACAGTTGACAAGTAACAAGGAACAGTCCCAATATTACCAAACCACATGGCAGGCCATTAATTCAAGTCCATTAAAAGTCCCAAGATCGGCAGAGCATGGCAGGCTGCTGAACAACGACTCAACTACATGCAGGGTTTAAGCATGCCATATGCTACAAACCATTCCTCAAGGCTTCTCCTTATATACAGGAAGCAGACCACATCCATAAGGCAGCTACTCAGCTGCTCCCCGTAGATTCCACCATGGAGTTGATTACCAGTCTCATCATAGGGAATACTATATTAAGATGCCCAGCTACTCAGCTAGGCCCAGCCAAATTGACACACAGACTGAACTACCACAATACGGTTTAATTTCTATTGGATGACTACGATTTCATTGTGGGTAATTTAGATCTTGAAGTTTTTCTCAGTCTTGAAGGATATATAACACTGGGTCATGATAAAAGTGGAGTCCTGGGTCCTAGACTAAACTCACTGCCATGGAGTTGGACCCAACTCATAGCAACCCCTCCTTGGGTTTCTGAGGCAGTATCACTATAGAAATAAATTGCCCAACATTTCTTCTGAGGAGTGGCTGGTGGGTTTGAACCATCAGCCTTCTGATTAGCAGTCAAGTGCCTTTAGGAACTATGCTACCAGACCTCCTAACCAGAGCTAACTATGCTACCAGACCTCCTAACCAGAGCTGTAGGGTAGGTATATATTTAGTTTTATAAGAAATTGTCAAACCTTCTCCAAAATTTTGTACCTTTGTTCCACAACAACATTTGGTGTAGTCAGTTTTTAAAAGTTTAATCATTCTGGTGGATATGGAATGATTCCTCATTGTGTTTTTAATTTGCATTTCCCTGATCACTAACAGTGTTGACCATCTTGTCATGCACTTATCAGTCATTTGTATATCTTCTTTTGAGAATATTCAAAATTTTTCCTCATTTTAAGAAATTTCATTGAGAAGATGCATCTTTTTATCTTTATATTTCCACTGCCTAGAAGAGGGCTGGCACACATTAGAGACTTAGAGAGAAAGAGAGAGGCAGCATAGATTCGTAGGCTCTGGAGTGAACCCACCTGTATTTGAATCCTAACTGTCACTTGCTATCTGTGTGACTTTAATGCTTCTATATCTCAGTTTCATCATCTATAGAATGGGAATAGTGACAGTGCCTGATAGCATATAGCTACTATTACAGCTGTTAGGATATAGTGGCACTACCAGGAGCCAGGTTGCTTAGGTTCTACCTGGCTCTCTGTGATTTTGGTTAACCTCTGTAAAATCCAGTTTCCTCATTTGGGAAATAGAAATAACAGCTATTTCTGGGCTTTATGAGAGGATTAAATGAGAGCATGTATGTACCTCCCAACACAGTGACCAGCGTATGTTGTTGTTAGATTTCATCATGTCAGTTCTGACTCATAGCAACCCTATGTGCAACAGAAAATACACTGCCTGGTCCTGTGCCATCCTCACAGCCATTGCTATGTTTGAGCCCATTGTTGCAGCCACTGTGTGTCAATCTGTCTTGTTGAGGGTCTTTCTCTTTTAAGCGGACCCTATACATTTCCAAGGAGCTCTGGTAGCATAGTGCCTAAGGCACTTGACTGCTTACCAGAAGGCTGGCGGTTCAAACCCACCAGCCACTCCTCGGAAGGAAGGTTGGGCAATCCTACTTCCGTAGTGATACTGCCTCGGAAACCCAAGGAGGGGTCGCTATGAGTTGGGGCCGACTCGACGGCAAAACAACAACAACAACAACATACATTTCCAAGGATGATGTCTTTCTCCTGGGGCTGATCCATCCTGATAACATGTCCAAAGTTTATAAAATGAAATCTCATCATCCTTGCTTCCAAGGAGCATTCTGGCTATACTTCTTCCCATAGTCAGTGCCTATAATTGTTGTCTGCTTTTACCACCATCACACGTGTGATTGACTGAGAGGCTTTACTTGCTCCACAGATGTTGACGAGTGCACAGAGCGGGAGGATGAGGAGCTGTCCTGTGACCACTACTGCCATAACTACATCGGTGGCTACTACTGCTCTTGCCGGTTTGGCTACCTCCTCCACACAGATAACAGGACCTGCCGAGGTAGGACCTAGGGAAGATTCTATATATTACCGTATGTGCACATCTTCCAAAATGGATTAGAAAAAACTGAAAAGAAAGACATTTATGCAGTAGCAATAATAAAATGAAATTCACAGAGATGTACCTGAGATATTACATAAATGAAGATGCTAAACACCCACCGTGAACCTTGGCTCAGGTTGTCAAAGAAAAACATGAGAGAAGTGCTGGCCAATTAGCCTATTCTTATTCCTGGGCAGTATTTCTGCTCAACGTGCCTGTCTCCTCTCCTACTATAAGTCATCAGCCTGGTCAAATTAAAGGAAGAGCTGGATTCCTTAATCCTCTTTCCCTGAGCCATGTATTATACCTCACCCAGCAGTTCTATTTTCTCATCTCTTCCATGGCTCTTTAAATTCCTCTTACACAAGAAATACCTCAGTTTAAAAGAAAGTAGAGGGAGTAGAAGACAAGGACAGAGACAGCAAGTTCCCACTCTTCTCTCTCTCTGTTTTCATTCTTTCATCAACATACCTACTATGTTCCAGTCACTGGGCTGGGGCCAGGGATGGAGAATTTCAGACACTGTCCATGAGGTTCTCCATGCTGGGTGGGATAAATAGCTACACAAGCAAGTGTTGGAATGCAATAAATGCTGTAAAGAATTATACACACAGCATAATCAGGCATACATTTGCCTGGGGGGTAAGCAAATGCTTCCCAAAAAGGCACCCTTGAAGAAGTTAATGAAGAAGAGAAGGAGGGCATGCCAGGCACAGAAAGCAGCTGTGCAGACATTCAGAGGCATGTAGAACATTGAATGTTTGGAATTGCCAATGGATTACTGTGGCTCAGGGTTAGGGGTCCCTGTTTTAGAAAAATCATTTGAAAACTGCATGAGGGATCCTTGGACAAGGGCAAGGCTGGAGACAAGAACTTCTTTAGCAGTCAAATGCCTTAGGCACTAAGCTACCAAAGCTCCCTTCACAAACTACTACTTGCTTCTTAATAAAGCAAAACCAGCAGTCCCACACAGGCACTTTCTTGAAGAGGGTTATATTTTCCATTATTTTCATTCAGTAAATATTTATTGATTACCTGCTATGTGCTGAATATATTTGGGGCTAAAAATGACATATTACATTGGGCAAATCTGCTGCAAAAGACCTCTTTAAAGTGTTAAAAAACAAAGATGGCACTTTGAGGGCTAAGGTGCACCTGACCCCAGCAATGATATTTCCAATTATCTCATGTGCATGTGAAAGCTGGACAATGAATAAAGAAGACTAAAGAAGAATTGATGCACTTGAATTATGGTGTTGGTGAAGAATATCAAATATTCAATGAAACGCCAGTAGAACAAATGAATCTGTCTTGGAAGAAGTACAGCCAGAATGCCTCTTAAAAGTAAGGATGGCAAGACTTCACCTCACTTTCTTTGGATATGTTATCAAGAGAGACCAGTCTCTAGAAAAGGACATTGTTTTAGGTTGAGTTCTCTAGAGAAGCAAAACCAGTAATGCATCAGAGCTCCTTCCTCCCTCTCTCTGTCTCTCTAAATATATATATATACATACACATATATATACACCTTGGGTTTCTAAGGCAGTATCACTATGGAAGTAGATTGCCCCATCAGTATAGAAATATATATATATATATTGGGCAATCCTACTTCCG